TGCCGTCCAGTGCTCAATCCAACCTCGCCTATCCACCAGAAGAATTCTTTGTGTTCTTGCAATGTGATCCCACACTTTTACTCCAGCAGGGAAATTTCTGCAGCTCCACACGTACCCACAGCCAAAGTGTCAAGCAGGCTCAGACTAGGCTAGACAGGAGATGGAGTGGGAGGGGGGTAAGGATAGGCAGGGAGGGAAGGGAGGTGGGTTATAGGGGAGAGACAGAGAGAGAGATACAGAGCAAAGCAGCAATCTAGACAAATGAATAGACTGGGTCCCTAATTGCCCCAAAGCTATGGTCAGCTGAAAAAACAGTGTAAGGCCAGAGAATCCTCTTCACCTGACGAGTCAGAACAGGTGCAGGTCTCAGACAGGAGACGGGGGCAGGAGGATGAGGGAGGGCGGGTGAGGCCTCAGACTACAGGGCACCTCCTGGGTTAAAGAGAGAAGTTCACTCTTTTTCATCTGCAGCTCCTGTTGAATTCCTCTGTGGAGAGCTCTGACATTGCAGACTCAAAAGAGAGCAGCAGGAGAGAGGAGTGACTCCTAGGACATTGAATTCCACAACAAGAGGAGGAGGAGAAAGGCGAAAAAGGGGGAGGATAGGGATTATGTGTGTGTGTGTGTGTGTGTTAACAAAACCAAACACCACTAATCATCAGAGAGAGGAATTCAAAGAAAATGAAAACAGGAGTATAACATAAATTTTCTTTCAGTCCAGAACTTGTTTGGGTTGGGAATGGATTTTGCTTTCTCTGTCTCTCTCTCTCTCTGCAGTGCTCAGTCATTTTTTCCCCAGTGTTTTGCGTAGCTCACTCTCTCCTTTTTGGAGAAAAGGTTACAGTAGTCGCAAGGGGGCCATGGAGAAGTGCAAGCACAGGACGGGAGAATTGTTTGAGCAGATGACAGAAGTATAACCTTTAAAGATTTGGTGTTTTCTTTGCCCTTCCCCCCATCCTCCTCCTCCTGTTCACTGTTCAGAGAGCCAGTCAGGACCTTCAAATGCCGGACGTGTAGTATATTTGTCACACCAGTCTAGTCAAGGTATATCTTCTAGTCATCCTGCAAACCCAGAGCTGTTTATTCTCAGTGAGGAAGACGGCAGATCCATATTCGGCCTGAAATGTAACTCCAGGTGAAGATGTTAGACAGAAATTATTAGTATTTTTAGTGAAGTGCCCAAATTCTCAACAAGTTTGTGCTTTATCACATTTTATATTCTAAACACATTCATCAGCATTAAAACTAAATTAAATAAGATAAACGTTAGCATGTTACCTCGCATATGCAGACATTCTTACAAAATGCAACAAACTGACCTCAAGTTTTTACCCCAGTTTCCCAAAAAACTCCATCGTCAATTGCAGCCTCATTGGAAGAGCAGAGGTAAGGCACAGTATGCTGGAAACACAGAGTAATGAGAACATATCAGTCCGGTCCAGATGATTGTTGGGGAGCCACACAACATCTGATCCTGATGAAAAACTAGCTCAGTCAAATTCATTATCCAGAAAGGCCTGCTGTTAGAAAAAAGCAGTGTAATCAAACCACTGTACAATCCACTGACTTTTTATCAAGCCATAGACACATACAGAGGCACAAAAACCCAAGCGCATGGAAACACTCACCTGCTAAAGTAACTTGGTTCATAGGAAGAACATTGAATAAAACAGTAAAGAATTTGATTTTAAGAAAACTGTATTGCAACATGCAATCATGGAGGATATGACTAAGACTGCGAAGAATGCAGCAGATAATTCAAAGTACAGTAAGGTTGAGCAGAGGTCTTTTCAACTGGCAAGGATACAGACATGCACAGGGGAGCAAGCTGGAAAATTCCTTTTCTGTTTTTTAGTTCACAATACAGACAAATCTGTACAGGTGATGCATTCAATAATAAAAGCCAAATGAAAGCATGGAAAACAATATGTGAATCACTTAAATTATTTACTCATGAGACATGGATTAGAAGAAAGTCAGAGCAGCAACATCTCTTTCCCAGTGATGGGGGGTTGTGTTCCTAAACTGGAGGGTTGAGTCTTTATATTACACACAAGCAGTACAGGAATGTATTTTAGATACATTTCCTCAAATGCTGTAACAACATACATAAATTTCTTGAGTATTTCCATTTACGGCCATTTATACTTCACCACATAGGCAAATAATATGGTTACTCTTAATTTACTTGACAGCTATAGTTAATAGTTAATTTACAGATTATTTTACATGACATACTGTATATGATCCTCTTAAAAATATGATACACTTCTACAGATTAAAATACCCAAGAGGTATATGGTGAGTTAGCAAATATTAGGTCAAATAACTGAAAATAAATAAAGTAGGATGGTAGTAGAATGTTAAGCTAAAGCCTACTTGTTCTTGTATCTATGGTTGCTAGCAGCATTTTAAAGTCATTCTAACTTTTGCTGAACAGCAATTGTGAGATAATGGTAAATGCAAAGTGTAAAAGTAGCACAAGAAGAGAAGGTTCATAAAGTCAGTGAACTGACTCAGTAATGGCAGTTACAACAACACCTATCTATCTACAGCTTCCTAACATTAGCTAAGATTAGCCACCATTAGCTACTGGTCATAGCAGAGAGTAAGAGGCCTTAATGTGTATTACGTAAAATGGTACAGTCTTGTTTTAATAACTCAGTAATAATATATAACACACAGTGGTGGAAGAAGTATTCTGATTCTTTATTGAAGGAAAAGTAGCAATGCCACTGTGTAAAGTAAAAGTTCTGTAGTGGTATTAGAAAAATATACTATACAAATAGTCTGTCAGTGTTATATATTATTCATTTATATATATTATTAGATTTTTTTCACATTTATGTGTTAGCATTTTACTATTGTGTGTGGAGATAAAGCTAATTTCAGATACTTTATACAGGCCTGCTGTTAGTTTAATCTGTAAAATGGCCTCACATTGTATAAGATGATCATATTTCATGTGTGTAAAGTTGTTACTAGTTTATAGTTTAACTATAGATACATACTGTACATGTAGTGGTGTAAAAAAGTACAATACTTCCATCTGACTTGTACTGGAGTAGAAGTATAAAGTGTCAAAAATGTGTGCTTAAGTACAGTAGACATACATTCCACCAAGTGTATATAAGTATAAGTGTGTTTACTGCTTGGTGCTGCTGGTACAAGGATCTGAATACTTCTTCTGTCATTGTACACAAGAATGGGAGTGTGTAGGCTACAACTAAACACAAAATAAAATACCAAGGTAGGGTAAAGTGACCTTTCATTCACTCAAATGGTGATTACAGTTCAGACAGCATATCAGAGTGAGTGGTGGTGACTTTCTTCCAAAAAGACTGAGCGTAACGTTTTTGCTGACAGAAAAAACACCATGGATGATAATCACAAAGGGAATATGGGCCGTAATCGTGAGCACTTGTGGCCTTAAATTAACTTACATAGGACAACTGTTCACTCTGGCCACACTTTGCACTCACAACAGAAACCAAACTACAAACTTGGGTTTTAAAATATCTGACATCACTTTTACTTGCATCTGTAAATTGCTATAGGTCAACATCAGCTGAGCAGTGTAAAGTAAGTTCAGGGTCTGTGCACAGCCTTGAGCTGAGCGTCAGCATCTAGTGGGCAGGAAACAATGACATCAGAGAGAGGGAGAGAGGAAGAGAGTTGGGGGAGGGAAGGCGAGGGAGAGTAAGAGTGAGAAAAAAGTGCTGTTTTCCAGCAGGCTCACTAGGTACGAATGGAAACAGATTTATAAAACTCCATCCTGCTCTTTTCTCTCTTCATTTTCACTGGGCACGTGGATACCTAAACCCTCTAGCAGAACATCAGGCATGTAACTGATGTCTGCGTATCAGATTATTAATCATTTAATGGACTCCTGAGTGACATAATTGAAATTGTATCTTGTATTTGTCCTTTGCTCGCCACTGAAGCCACGTTCATGGTAAAGAATGCCAATACAAGCACAAGCAAATTATTAGTAGATATGAAAAATGGCTTTTGGGACTGTGATTTTGACTCAGATTAGTGATAAAAGGTTGGCTGAAACGTTTTTCCATCCTGTGTGCGCTGTGATTCAGCAGGTCCACCACAGCCAAGTCATCTGGCACCATTGGAGTAGAGCCACAAGTCTGATTAAGCACAGATGTAGAAGCGTGCAGCCCCAAGATTCCTTTGGAGGCATCCTAACTTTATTGATCCAGGACCAAAATCCACTCTGATCGGCTGCAAATGTTTCAACATTGTACTGCAGTGGCCGTGTATTATGGCAACACAAGGGAAGCACATTTACTACAGCTTATGTTTAATAGAGCTTCACTGACATTTGTTTCCCTGATGAAAGGTGAAGCGCAGACTGAAATACCTTGGACTGTGGCTGAGACATTTAACAGTGTTTACACAGCCTGCCAATATTTGTGCTCCGCCCTAATGATGAAGCACCAGAGGAAGTTCACTTAAAACTAAACAACCAAAGGGAGAATAAATAAGGATTAGGTTTAAATTTCAGAGCAGTTTACAGAGACTGACACTGACAGCTAATTGGAAGTGTATTGTAATATGTAGTTTGCTGATTGTTTGTGTACATGCCTGTGAATAATGTAGCACCTGTAGACTTTAGTATGTTCTCTTACAGCTTTAGACCTCTTAGTTGTGGATCTGTCAAAGTGTGCACTCTGGTGGCTGAATTACAGAAAAGCTACAGAAAAGCTGGAAGGCCCACTACAAAACAAAACATAGCTGTGTCCCAATTCTACGCAATTTTCAAGTACTCACAAATGTCAGTATTCGTACTAAAACCCTTGACTTCTAAGTGTACTGTACTAACAAGTTTTAAATCTTTGGAACTCTTTCCGGGAAGTTTTGTATAATTTCGTGTTAGTAAAATACAGCAAGATACATTTGTTGATCTGTTGTATACTAATAGGGGGAAAATATATTATGAAAATGTGTATATGTATACAATTCAGTGATTCCACAGACAAAATACATTTGTTTTTAAACAGCATTTATTTAGCTTTCTCCATACAATACATTTAATGTACAACAGCACATACTGTATTCTGAAATAACTCTCAGTATAAAATAGGGCTTCTACAATCAAGGTACAGTCATAAAATGCTCTCAGGGACATGACGACGACGGCAACAGTAAAACACCTTCATATAAAGCGCAGGGTCTTGAGAAGTGATTGTATTTGCCGAGCTGCTGCACCAGGAAGCAGAACTTCATAACACACCTCTCAGAGCATCCGACATCCTGCAAGAACCCGTTTATTTTTTCTCCTCTTGGTTCTGGTTTCACAATGGAGGAGATTCCAAACAATGATCAACGCATTAGAATATGATCAATTACAACTGCTGAAAATATAACTTTTGGTAATATGAGACGATAAATCAGGCCTTGATTGGATACTGAATATATACCAAGGTCAAAGCATACACCGTATTATGACTGCTAATCAAGCCTATATCTTTACAATCATATATTGAACGGTTTGTTTCTGACTGTAGTTGTAAAGACTGGATTGGTGGACTGAGTGTTTTCCTGACATCAAACACTTAAACACAGCAAAGTTATACTGTACTATCACTGAAGCCACAACAAAACCAGCTTATTTCAAACATGGTAAACATCAGCCAATTATAGATTGTTTTAAAAAGGATTTTTTTTTTTTTTGCAGATGTGCATTAGAGCTTGTGTGGGCCTATATAGTGTCTATAAATGTGTCTTTAAATAGAATACACATAACATTGACCAGCTTTTGTGTTAGTTTGCTATTATGTAGTGCTTCAGGTGTTGAATATACATCATATAACATGTCCAATTGGTATGAGAGAAGGCCTAGGTACAAGGGAACATTAAAAAAAAAAAAAGATAGAGTCTGACTGAGAAGGCCAAACATCAGAAGAAAGAAAGGAGAGATTTGTCTCAAGTCTTGAGGTAAGCAATGTGTTTCAGTATAATGCCCTACAGACAATCATACAGTTACAATCATTAATTCTCTATATACAAACTTCCTGATTTACATACGCTGTACTGCTCCTCAGTTTAAAATTTAATAAAACTAAATCAGAGAGAGATCATATCCGTGGTGCAATAGTTTAGAGCGAGGAGGGGAATCGGAATCCACGAAGCCTGTTTCAGTGAGGTGGGCGATAATGAACATTATGGCTATTGAAGATGGCCCGTTTCCTCTTGCATACGTCTCACACACTATCAAATATCTACAACAGTGCAAAATTTCCTGTTCAATCAAAACACTCGCAAACAACTGGCTAAACGACATCAGCTCATTTTTGAAGTCATATGGTGGAAAACGGGAGATGGCAAAGTACAACTATGTGAGTAGATGTTGACACAGAAAATGTACATGCCTGTGTAATTTTATGTATATATCCATTAGGCCTTGGAGCATTTTAGGGGGTCACATCAACTCTGTTTACTGCGTTACGTGAGTGGAGGAAGTCTACTGTGGCACAGTGCCTCAAATGAAAGACAAGCAAAAAAAAGGAAGCAAGGACCAACCAGCACTCTACCCCCATATGGCTCCACTGAATGTAGGCACCATTTTTTGACCTTCTAAGAAGACAAGGTTGAGCTCAATAACATGTCAAGCCTATCTGACATCTTGCCAAAACATACGCAGCGCCACCTAAATGTGTGTCTACTGAAGGAGAGTTAATGAAATAAATGTGCTATAGTAGTAACAGTTTGCGCACTCATTGACACTACGGACTGTAACTGAGACATGACATCAACAAGCTTTACGAAGAGGAGGAGGCTATAGGATGCTACAGTACTAGTGCTACCTGAACATGCTACAGATTGAGACTACAACGATGGGAGATGGTTTCACATTAGCACAAAGAAGGGACCAGCTTTGCTGAGGAGCTCTACCCATTCCAGGCTACAGAGCTGCTGAAACCAGCCGTGTCCAGAACCAACATCTGCTTTTTTTAAAAAGCATACCTTTCAGGATAAACCATGTCCTCAAAAATGTTATGTACCATTTTTAAAATGACAAATGTACCGTCTTTGCAGCTTGATGGATCAAGTACTTAGTAAAGCTGGCTTATTGTGTGCAGAGGAAAGCACCCCATCTGTAGTCAGTTCCTGTCATACGACACACACATATACACAGTCCATACGAACACATTCGCTTGCACAAGCGCACAAACCCTGAAGTTAGGAACGATTTCTATCGTCACACAGCACTATCGTTTTGATTATCATTGAGTAAGAGCTGGGATTGCATACTGTACCATACATCTCCTGGGAGAGGCACCCTTCATCAATATCAGCTCATTCATTTCATTTATCTCTCTCACACACACACACACACACACACACACACACACACACACACACACACACACACACACACACACACACACACACACACACACCCCAATTCTTAACTGGTCAAAAAAAAGAAAAAGAAATAAAAAGACAATCACATGCTTTATAACGGAATGTAGAGAAAGCTCATACCAGACCTTCGACTTTAACTGGGACCAAGCCAAGCGCACAGACTGTTATGAAGTGTCTCCTTGGCTTTAACCACGAAAAGTTGATATCCTTCTCACGGTCACTTAGCCATCAGTTTAATAACAAACTTCTGAAGTGCTTTTATACATAACTGTGAAGTTACAATAGCTGTCCCTTCAGAAAAGACTAATATAATTATTTCTTAAATTATTTAAAATATATTTCCCCACATTAAGTTGGAGCTCTGGACCTAGTCTATCAGACCCCTTGCAACAGAAACCACGAGTACACCAGCAACTATCTGGACTGAGTGTCCATTACTGTACATCTTTCACATGACGTATATTTCATTCACGCTCTAATGTACAATGCAAAGCGATCAGACCGTTAAAGCAAGCTGACTTCAAAGTATATCGTGTACGATATTTGAGAACAGCATCTCCTATTAATTTCTGTTCCCCGCTCCAAAGATTCTGTCACCTCTTCCAGTTTTTCAATCTGCCGCTCTCCACTCACGTTGAGAGAAAACCTGCTTCTGTTTGCTTATCGCCATAAAGTTAACAGAGCGCTTAACAATAGGCCTAACAATGCTGCCCTTAGCTTGCATTATGAGCTGTTAGCGTGCTCGTGTGATGGAGCTGTATCTTGGAGCGAAAGAGAACGCCGAGCCTTTTAAAAAGACGCTCCGTGCCGTGCTCCCCCCTTTACAATACTAACATACCGTGACTAAGAGATGCTAAGGACACACGTTTTGGACTTCTAGGCAGGTAGAGCTTATCCACAAGAATTTGGCAGCTATTGATTTGGCTACTAAATCCACAGAAACATGCAAACATTCACTTTCTTGTTATTTTTGTGACATTTTGTGTTTCTGACCTGTATCAGCTCTTTATATTTGACTATGTTCTCTGTTAAAAAATAAATAAATAAAAAATGAATAAGAAAAATCAAATATAACTCTATAAGACCCCCAAGCTTAATCTGATGAAAGTGCAGCACTCCAGCATCAGTGGAAGGAGTGGAAGTGTTTGAATGGGTTCAGATAGCAGGTCCTAGATCAGGGTCTTGTAGGATTCTAGCTCAGAGTAAGCCACTCACACATACATACCATAATAGATTTTCTCACAAACAGGATTGCTCGCGCGCACACACACACACACAAACACTCACACAGAGTCTAGCTTAGATGAGTCTGGCCTCTCCCTCCATGTCTGGCGGTAGATCACACACTCCCGTGAAGTGCATCTCCTTTCCCTTGCCTCCCTGTCCCGTCCCAGCTCTGGCCACTCGTTCCCCCAGACTGGGCGAGGGCTGTTGGGCCTGAGGGTCTGGCGATGTCCCACGGGGGATTCCACCTGCCCGCCTCTCTTTCAGGAAGACCTCTAGTCGGCGCAGCATCTGCTTGGGGTTCTTTTTGGCAAACAGCTCCACTTCTGAAGGGTTAGAAAACATAGAAACTGTAGGACTCATGCAGGGATGACAATCTGTGTTCAACAGCGTTTCTGCAATCTGAATGTTGAGTTTGACTCATAGGCCTGTGACACCAGTTTAAAAGGAAGAGTTCGACATTTTGAAAAATACAATTATTAGCTTTCTTGCTTAGAGTTAGGTGAGAAAAGACATATTTCCATAAAATATGAAGCCAAAGCCAAAGCCAGCAGCCGGTTAGCTCAACTTGGCTCAGCCAACAGCTAGCCCAGCTCTGTCAAATAGTAACAAAAACCAGCACCTCTAAAGCTCATTAATTAACATGTTATGTCTCATCTATTTAATATGACAGGTTGTGGTTTTACCAGGGTTTATGTACTGGACTCCTTTTTGATAGGTGAGTGACTTGAACCTATTATTTCTATTGTTTTTTAGGCAGATTTTGTTACCTTCGGACAGAGCCAGGCTAGCTGTTTTCTCCATTGTGCTAAGCTAAGCTAACTGGGTATCGACTGAAGCTTCATATCTAACAAACAGATGAGAGTGGTATCTATCTTTTCATCTAACTTTCAGCCTGATTAACATACAAAAATTAATGGATTTTTGTATCCATAGACAGTTGTTAAAAGAAAATTTTAATAAATACAGCAGAATCATCTTTCTCATTCCACACATTTCTTTTTGTCTTGATTTCAAAGTGTCCTTTTCTTTACCTTTTAGTACAAAGCCAGAGTCTGCGATGGTCTTCTGTTGGGTCTTCCACAGTTGGTACAGGTGAAGATACGTGGCAACGTAGAACTCATTCAGCACACCAACCACTTGCTGGCGACGATTGCACTCCCTGGTATGACCGAAGACAGAGAGGAGCAGTCGTGTTGAGAGATACTGTGTGACGAATAGACACGTATTACAGTAGATGCGGTAAAACAAGAACCGGGAACCAGAGACTCACTTCGACAAGGCTTCCTCTCGGAGCACTTGCAGAGCGATGCGGGTCATGTTGATTGACATCACACAAAATGGAAAGTTCTAAACCAGACAAAATACACAAGGACATTTAGTTCCATAAGGAATACCTACAAAGGCTACAAGAGCAAGTCCTGAAACATTCTTGTCTTAGAGAACACTTTATTGATCCCTGAGGGGAAGTTATCGTTTTCGCTCTAGTTCCTTCTGTGGGGGAGGACAAAGGTTGGGGTCAGCTACAAAGCAGCACGCCTGGAGAGGGAGGGGCTTCAGCATCTCTTAAAGTATTAGTGTCCAAATAAAACAAACAAAAAACACATCTCCAATAAATAAAAACATGAATGCCTTTATATTTTCTTTTATGACCCGGTGATACCTGGGTAGGGTGTTGTGATAACTTGTAGATGTCTCTGGCCAACGGTAAAGTCTCTGGGTCCATCACAAAGTACAGAGTGTGCATCAGTCCCAAGAAACCAGAGCCACGAAGGTCAGTGGCTGGATCAGTACCTGCAGTGAAGAAAACAAACCAACACAGAGTGTCACATTGTTTCCTTGTTTGAAATGAATAATGTCAATAATTTGGGATTATTTTCAAAAATACTTATCATAGCGTCACTCTTTAACACAGAGGCCTTAGAACGAGGCCTTTCAATTAATTAATGCAGAAAGAAAGAAAGAAAGATTTAATACTTAAAATAATGCGCATTACATTGACTTTTGCATGATGTGTGGACTTCAGAATGAGGGAACTAGGGCTGGGGCAATTCATTGACATAGCGTAAATACGTCGATTCGCATTACGTGCGTCGAAGAGTTGCTGCATCCGGTGCAAGCAGGGATTCCTCCGGACAAACTGCAGATACAAAGCCGCGCCTTCGACCGTCTAAAGTTTGGGAGTATTTTAGACAGGCACTCAACAACATGCGGCTCTGTGAGCTCTCTGTGAATTGGAAATGACTTCACTGCAGTGCAATTGCTGTCCATGAACCATTGAAGTGAAAGTATCCTGGTGCACTTTGTCTAGCACTGCAAATCCTGTTTACTTTTTGTCTCCACACAAGCATGGCACATTATCAGCACGAGGACAGTCCGTTAAAATTATTTAATGGCCATGTATGAGCGAGAAAATAGCTGAAAGTAACATTACAGACAATCTGTGTCTGTAAATCTTTTCAGTTGTTTTCATTTTAAGATGCTGCTGTTGTCATTATTCTAATGTGCTTGATCAGAATGATTGAATAAAATGTTGATTTATTGATTAGACGTATTTTTGATATTTATTATGGATAAATTGTTATGTTACATTTTTTTTCTTTAGAATACACAAATTTAGTCGTTAGATTAATCGACTAATCAAAAAAATAAACGTTAGATTAATCGATTTGAAAAATAATCATTATTTACAGTCCTAGAGGGAACATTTCATGGTTTGTCTGTCTAACTTTCTAACAGTTTGTAAACTGAAGCTCTTAGTGTTACCTACTCTTGTAAAAACACTACTTGTTGTTCTGCTGCTGTTTACGTCATGTGTCTGCAGACTATTCGCTCAGTGCACATGATAACATGTTACTTAGTTTAGTCATCCAACCGATCTTATTCATATAAAACCCGACATTGGTTGTAAAAGTGTTTCAACAGGAGAAACACTGCTGACTCCTACACGACTCCTCTGTATTTATGTAAAATGTTCATGGGGTCACATAATGCACATTATGGTTTTATATGTTCATATAAGATACTGGCTGATATTATTTTAATGTTTATGCAAACAAAATGTTCACAGTGCTGCTAATTTTGTGACTTTCTACAGAAAACTTGATGATTTTTTTTTACATTTTCAGCACATTTTACCAATACAGAGATCATAATGATACCGTGATCATTTTGGTCATTATAATCTTGATGTGAAATTTTTATACCATGTATTTATAGAGAAGAGGTGTAAATGTGCCTTACCCTGAAAACCGATGTTTTCCCAGTGCGCCCCATAGCGAGGACAGTCCAGCCGGCTGCCAATCAGCCTCTTATAAATGGTCTGGAGGACACGCATGTGGACTGTTTGGCTGTTGTCCACATGGCCTATAAACACACACACACACACACACACACACAGAAATAAGTAACAGTGAAAATCAGTGATTTATTAGAAACACTTGTGAGTTTGATGCCTAGCGGCAAGATTACACAAACAGTCCCAGCTAACACACACTCACACTGTGCGATGGCAAAGACCAGATCCCTCTCCTCCAGGAGTTCCCTGTGCAGCCGTGGAGGTCCGAAGAGAAAGTGTGTGATCGCAGCCAGACCTGTCCTGCGAATGGTTGGCTGGATGTTCTTCTACAGATGGAGGTGTGTACAAAAAAAACAATGCCACTTTAAAATTACAGTAAGAGCTGCAAATAAAATTTGTTTTAATATAATACAATATGACACCAGTGCCTTCATTTCAAATTTCAAATGTTTCTGATTTGCTCTTCTTTGCTGCGTAGTTTGTTTTTTGCTGCTGCCTGCTGTTTACTCAACTTCCTGAATCTATTTAACAATAAAATGCTTCCAGCAGTTCCAGAGTTGGCCATTATTAAAATAACAGCAATTATTTGAGAATTCTTACCAGCAAGTCCCCGAGGTCTGTCGTCTGGAAGTACTGCAGGGCTTCATTGAAGGAGATGAGCGGGGTCGGGATTGAGTCCTCAGTGAGAGCTGGGGGATATTTCATAAAATGTTAGAACAGCAAATTAACAACAAAAAAATTCATCAAACTCATCGTGAGGCAAACATGCATCTGACCTGGTTGGGCGTTCTCCAGAGCCTCCCACTCCTCTCTGGCCTTTTCCAACTCCTCATTTTCCTCTGTAGAATTTAAAAAAAATAAGGTAAGAAAAAACTAATACACCCAAGTTTGGCACATGAAACTAAAACTTTAGCACTGATAGTGGATGAGTATCTCCTCAGCCAATGGGCTATGGTGCAATGGCTGACACCCATGGTGTTCATTCTCCTTCATCAGTTATAAATCCTTCCTTTCTAACAGACCTACACCACTCAAAGTGCCACTGGGACCCTGTGCTTCTTCCAAGCAGGCAACCTACACTCCTGAGGGAGGTTTTACCTGCAATGGCTGCCTGGTATCTAGGATACACTCAAATTCCTGTGGGAAGAGGATGTAAGACAAAAGGAGAGAGTGTGCGTTACCTGCAGGCTTAGGTTGGTCCCCTCCGGCTGCCAGGGTCTGCAGAAGACCATTCTGCTTCAGTGCTGAAATCTGGACAATTACCAAATAATGGATTACTTTACATTTAAGGGCCATACTGGTTGAAGTACGATCCTTAGTATGAAATTTAGTTACCGGCAGGGATCTGAGTGGTGCGCTGCCGTTCGTGTGGTCTTTGACATTATGACTAATTATCAGTCCATTCATGACCTGAGAAGAAAAAGGTTTAAACAGGCAATTTCTACATAAAAAACTTGCAAGGAAAAAATTGCAATGGATCAATGAGAAGGGATTTTGAGTTGGACTCACAGGCTTATGGTTGGAGTGTCCATTGGTGATATCGTCTAATGGTTTAGATTCAAGAGACAAACCATTCAGGCCCTAACAGGAGAGCAGCAACACAGAGCAGAGACAGCAGACATTGGGTTTAGTGCGCATGCGCCAGCCGCATGCAACCTGTTGCAGTTGCTCCCGTTCGTCATCTTTCTGAATTTATTATTTTATTTTATGTTTTTTCTCCTGTGTGTGAATTTATGGTCTATAAGTAATTTAAACTACACTCTCTAATCTTGCAAGTTGAGAGTTTTGGTATGGTTGTGAATTGGCCTTTTTTTTCCCCTTGGGGATCAATAAAGTATTTCTGATTCTAATTTTGATTTCTGATACACAATGTAAAAGTAGTGCAGCTTTCACTGCTTTTAAGACAGGCAATTCATTATCAATGTATGCTTAATGCTTTATGTTCTAATTTGTTGGTAGTTCTGATATCTAAAACTAACATGTGAAAAATACACCCTAAAACAACAAGCCAAATAAAATGTCAGACATGTCTCAGAAGTTGCACACTTCATCTGTCTTTCAAGGATACTTGCGTATTAAGAGTTTGGTAATTTAATAGAGCACTTCCTTTGAGGGAAACTGTCCCTGCCCTGTTACACTGCAGCCTAAGAGTGTTTACAAAAGAAGCAATACACAAGGATAGTGGCCAGGGAACAACAAGTAATATTACGGCTAGAAAACCAAGCTGGGGATAAGAGAAATGCTCTGTCAGCTGCATTGCATGGCAACATGCAATGCACGCCAGAACCAAGATTACAGCTAAAGCAGAGAGACAACTGTTGACCTTAAACGTTGTTGATGTTAAACCCATGTGACAGACCTGCTTAAACAAATGAGTTCTTAATTGTTTAACATTATACAACAGTTTGGAACAGGAAGGGAACATTTATCCCTCAGGGTGACTACATCAATATCGCAAGGCAACAGCGGTAAGACAGCACCTACTTCCATTTTGTTGTCAAACACAGCAGGTGTTGCTTTCTGCTTTAATGGTGTTAAGTTGAGTAAACGCAAACACTGGAATGAGATTAAATGATTAAAAACTTAATAATATTACCTCAGTGTGGGTGACATCAATGTCTTCTTCCATTGCATATGAGTGTGTGGGCTGGCGAGCGTGTTCCTGATCCCGGCCTCTAAAGGCTTCTAAAGTCATGGACTGAGATGGGCTGAGGAGCTGATTCAAGGACCACCATGGTTTCTGTAGTGCACATTTGTAGTGACTGCAAGTATCTATGCTTTTCTCCTTTTCGCCTCATATACACAGAGAACGCAACGTCCACAGTCACCAGTATGATTTCACTAAACTGTCACTGGCAGAAGAAATCCATGTTGAGCACATCATATCCTCTTTTTCTGTCTGCCAGCGATGATTGTGCGTGTGATGGCAGCTTGGTTTTATTAGCCACTCCAAAGTCTAACCTTGAGTGTGTACACTGAGGGGAATGGGCAGGTATCAGTCTACAAGAGCTGACAGGAGGAAATGGCTATCCATCAATAGACAAGTTTCCTGGAACCCTGCCCCCTTCCTCTCCTCCACAGATCTGCTTGGCCAGTGGGTTCACTCCTCAACCCCATCAGAAATACACAGAAGCTGGATAATGACATTGCTTTTCAGGGCTGGGCTCTCCCCGTCCGAGACACTTCATAACTTTGGCACTGAAGACAAATCCAGTACGCACGTCTGCAAGCTGCAGTTTACTTTACTTGCACCAAAGCTGTGTTAGGTCTTCAGCCTCACATGAAACAGCAGCACATGTCCAAAGTTAGATGTGCAGGTGTCCAGTGAGATGTGGGTCATGGATAGAGTTTTTGTGTGGCCAGAGTCCTCAGGAGGGGCTGTCATATGTACACAATATCTGAAAACTAAAAGAAAAAGAATGATTAAACTACGCAAAGTTAATAAATGTCCGTCAATCAGCCACACACAAATCAAATATTGCTTAGGCGATGCACACAACATAAAAAATGTGGAGCAAATTATGACCATAAGAAACAGATTTAACCATGTCAAAATACAATTAGCTGCATTGCATATCATATCATATTATATAGTGCTGTACTTAACTACGAGTCTGATGAACTTTACTTGAGCCATAGTACTTTATACTTCTACAATTCACTTTTTACTCCCCTACATTTACTTGACAGCTATACTAGCTAATTTACAAATTAAGATTTAGCTTACATAATATATAATGAACTTGTGTAGTTTGATGCATTGTTATAGTTGTTAAACTATCCAACAGTACATAAAATGGTAAAACAATTGCCCATTACACACAATAATTCAATTAGTATAGGATTCACGGGGTTAGCTTTTTCTGGGTACTTTATATTTTTTATACTTTGGTAGCTTCACGTAACATTTAATAAATATAAAATAAGTATTTTTACAGCGTGAACACTTCCTCCACCACTGTCTGAAACACAGCCAGATCAAAACGCCTAAAATTCATTACACTAGAAATGTCAAAGTCAAGAACTGCAGAGCACAAGCACCCCACTGTCATGACAAAACCACAGCATTTATATGAAGTCCATCTTTGTCAGCTGACAGTTGTCTACTGTAAATGTATAAATCGCCGCTGCACAGCTACAGTAGCAGACCAACGTCAGCTAGCCAACAATATCTCTAGCAACCAACAAGCTAGCGATATGTCAGCTAGCAACCCCGCAGGCACAAAGACGCAGCTACAGCTCCTTCTCAATCCCATAATGTAACACCAGCCATATATTGCATGCAAAACACCCAACACATGCGCCAAAATAGCTAGACGATTTGTGTCATGAATATCAAGTGCAATTAAGTAGTTGAGACCAAGCTAATACAAGAAAAGCCAGCTGTCAGGCTAACTAACGGGCTAGCTGTAGCTCTATTGAACTGTAACGGGCATAGAGTCTCTGCCCAAATCCGACAGCACCCAACGGACTAATCTGCTTTTGTCATTAAGTCATATTAAAAACGCTACAAAACATTGCCTGCTGTGGTCTATGCGACTATATTATGCGATATGAAGTATTTCAAAAGTACCTCAGTTTCTGACTGTTTCTCCCTCCAATCTCAGCTTCCCTTCCCCCGTCCAGTGGCCACGGTAATTTCAAGTGCATCCTGGGAATTGTGGTTTCCTGTCAGACTGTAACTTCATTACGTCATTGCTCTCTCTCTTTCTCTCTCGTTTCATTTAATTTAATTTAGCCTCATTGGCATGAATGTTTAGTTAAACAATGTTACCAAAGATGAAATTTACCCCCCCCCCAAAAAAAAATAAATAAAAAGACGTTAAAAAAAACACTAAAGAAAGAGGGGGAAAACAAAACAAACTAAAAACATTTAAACTTACATTTAAAATATGTCTTGCTTTTTGACAACCACTAGCATTTTTCTAAGGAACATATAGAAACAACAGCAATTATCTAGTCTGAGTTTCCACTGGTTGTCCTCAGTTTGTGGCTTGAGGAGATAAAATTTGCTGCAATGATTTGGCATTTGGGCATTTCTCCCAGTAAGTAGGGGAATTTCTATCTGTCTGATTTAAATATGAATTCGGGATATGTTGGATGTTGTCGGGATAAGTGTTTTCCTTGTAAGGCTTTATATTTAGGACATGAGATGAGTAGGAACAGAGTCTCTCCTCTTCTGGTAGCCAGTTCTGTCTGTGGCGACCCTTTTCTGTGGTTTTTAGGGCCAGATAACATGGTAATATTCTTGTTTTTTGCAGTATTATTATTCTTTTTGCTTGTTGATAATTCAGTTTGGTCTCCATCTCTCTCTCTCTCTCTCTCTCTCTCTCTCTCTCTCTCTCTCTCTCTCTTGCAGGCACATACAGATATTATAGACTCCTAAGAGGATGGAGCATGTGGCCTCCATTTCTATCTACACCTCCTATCAGCACAGATAGTCTTTCTTGCTCAGAATACAGTTTTCAGGATACAAGATTTCACATTTTATCTCAACCAAATTAAGAATAGCCTATAATAATTATGAAAAGGCTTATAATTTAGGCCCTTTTAACTTAACCCTTCCAGAAAGCTTTGACAGTGTTTGGTGTTCCCTATAATGTGCAAGGATTTGCCTACATTTCACAAAAAATAAGCTGATGTATGAAGTTGAATTTCAGTCAAGGACACAGAGATGGATATTGGAAGAAAAAAAGATTGTCATCGGTGCCAGGGATTCGATATGGCTGCCAGATAGCTTGTTTTGTCTTCTTGGTCTTATTACACAACTAATCTGCACTGGATAATTTCCCCTTTTCCTACCCTAGAATTTTCTCCGCTCCTCTCTTTACACAAATAATGGAACAAGATCTCTGAGTGGCCACAACACAACTCTCCTCACATCTGCTTATGTTCACATTTTGAGGGATTTCAAGCAGATGTCAATTATTACCCTCTGGAACATTCTTTTAAGAAAAAAAATGTTTGTTTTGCATTACACAAGCCAGTCCTTGGAATTATACTGCTGAAGTTTGTTTTATTTAGAGTACACTGGAGTCACGATATGTCTTAGGCCTAAATTCTCAAAAAAGGAGGTGGGAAGTCGGCTCACTTCCTATTTCACCTCAGAAACCTCTGTCAAGCTCTAGTGGAAAAATAGTGGTCATAATGAAATATTTCTGAAGTAGTGCTGGTGAATATCTTGCCGCCAACTAAGTGAGAGTGAGAATCCTGGCCCCTGTAGTCTGCACTACATCCAAGAAAATGAGCTGTTACAAAACATTTTGGATCGATTAAAACTAGATAGGAAAAATGTTACACAACTGGCAATAATGGAGGACAGATTTCCTGTTTTGAAATCCATTGTTACTTGATCTTGGGGAATGTGCTGCTGGCTCGCACCGAACTGCTTGCTGCTGGACTCCTCACGCATCTGAATGGCCCAACACCTGGTCAATCTGGCAAACTGTCAGTTTGAAAACCCATTAGGGGTGCAGGAAGACATTTTTTATTAACTACATTTCTCATGGTTTAAAAAAGAACCTTTAAATTCATCCGTCTCCTCTCTGTCAAAGTGAAATAATTGTGCAATTGCGGTGCAGTTTCCAAGATGAGTTTTCTGTTTTGCATTTTTTTCAAGTCCATGTGTTTTTAGTCTATAACTATAAAATGTTTTAGGAGCTTTTAGTCAGGTTCTTATGCACCAGGAAAGGACAGAGTAATCAATATCCTAGCTGCACTTCTTCTCCAACAGCATAATAAAAGCAAAAAGACATAAACACAAATGGCATTGCAATCGTTTATTCACTTGGCAGTCATTGTAATGTAATTCATCTGCGCAATATCAATAAATAAAACACTGAAATAAAAGTGCACTTTCACAGCAAGAGGCAGTGACAATAACTGGGGTGTTATCAGAAGGAAACAATGTGCAGTTTGTTACATATTTTACTGCACACACTTCCTCAACATGTCTGCCAAGGTGGATTGGAGTGGTGTAGATGGTCAGAAACTGTTAAGGTACATAGTGGGTAAGATTGTTATAAGTGAAGCAAAATCTCATGACAGGTTTTCTATTTAAGCAGGGCAAGAAAAACACATATATGCCAATTGAAATCAATATCCGTGCCCAGAGTTTCCTAAAATCCCAGACAAGCATCATCTCCATTTTATCTCCTTAATGCTATCTGAGTTTTCATATTTCTTCAGTAGTTATAAGCACATTTAGAGGTTTTCTTTTAATGAGCAGGGATGGTCTTCTGCCACTGTTGAGCGCACTCTGCCAAAGCTCAGCTCAAGAGGCATCTTGTGTCAGCAGGCGTGAGCCATCTCCATAGAAACATTATTAGCCATCCTTTGCCGGAGGTGGTTGGCAAAGTCCACCTGCGTCTGAGAGAGCACTTTGTTTATGATTGTCTTTGGGATCCAGCCCTACAGACGACAAAGACAAAGACAAAGACAAAGACAAAGACAAAGACAATGTTAGCTGTACACACTGTTTTTACTTTTAGTTCTTGAATACAGTTTAATGCAAATCAGTGCAGCCACTGAGGGGAAAAAGTCATATACCTTTAGATCTATATTTAGTAACCAAGTGAACTTGGTCTTGTTTGGATCTTCAACACATGGCTTCATAACTATACAGGTAGGTCCATTCTCCGCTCTGAAAAATGTAATGATCAATGAACAACATCAGTTTCAACTGCATCAAGTATGTATTCATCCATCCATTGAACACAACTTCTCTGATTGCTCTGTATCTATTTATTTACTTCTCACATAAATGCAGGCACAGATCACTACAAGTACCCGATTTTCCCCTCCTGTGACTCACCTGACAACACCCCTCTGCTCAGGCATTTTCGGGTGCTGAGTGGACATCCCAGCCAAGAAGCAGGTGGAGCCCCGGCGCTTGGCACAGCGGACGCTGACAAAGTCCCTTGGTCCCACCACATTGCCGGGTGTCTCTGCGGATACCTCATGGGTAACCATTGTGTCTTGGCCGATCTTTTGAAGGATCTGCAGGATTGTGAAATTCTATTAATGTTCTCGGATGGATGTGTTTGTATTTGTACATGTCTCTTTCTAAGATGTATGAACAGCGAATGTAAAGGGATCCCCGTTCATACTCCAGGCCCTGGTGCTGCCTCTCTTTTACCTTGACCTGTTTGACGTTAGGGTTCCACTCCCCCATTTGCTCCATATTTCCCACCAGCTCTTTGTAAAGATTGTCAGGACGCTGCTCCAACATCACTTCCAGCTTGAACACCTTCCCAATGTCAGGCAACATCTTACTCAGGACTTTGTCTCCATTCGCCTGAGGAGGGGTGTTAAATAAGTATTCACATATTTTCTTTCACGCTCATGATAAAATAGACAGTGAATAATGTCACATTACATATTCTCATCAGAACCTGTCTAAGGTGGCAGCAGTCGCATCTTTTGAGTTTGTTATTATCATCAATCCATTATTTAAACAGGTAGTACAACTTTTGAAATGTTCAAATGATTTAAGAGAATGTAATTTCATATTTTTTGGAGCTCATTCAGTTTGTTTGAAACATTGCATTTGAAGTTCAGTGTGAACAAGAGGTACAGCCAATGTTAAAATGTCCTGTGGCGTACTGCTCCCTTCAGTTTGTTAAGGAGGACCATCCAACCTTTTTATACAAGACCATTTCTCACCATTGGATACAATAAAATGTATTACCTGTGACAAAGCACAGTGCACTGTAATACACAGAGTCAACAGGCTTTAAGTTGGAGGGACAAGCAGTACAATGCAGGGAAGTATTATTCAATTCTCTGTGTCCTGTCTTGATACTCACAGCCACAATTTCAGTGGTCCAGCCGTCCTGGTCGCTGAGGATGCTGATGGCCTTCTGCAGGGCATCCTCACCTTGCTTCACATAAGACATCTCTTCATCGCTGTACCCCTCTTCCTCTTCAATCCGGGAACCTAGAAACGAAGAGCACAGAAAGTTAAGCATGTCAGTTAACTTCCAGTTTTACGTGTTTCGGTATTTTTAAGATAAATAATCAAAACATTGATATATCTTGTTACTGCGTGAGCCAAAAACTCTTATAACATGCAGTTTCAGCTATCACATCAAGTCTGTTACTCCATAATTTTTTTTATCTGTGTGGCATTACACTGACTCAAATGATCACAAGTAACAACTTACTGAGGAGGGAGCTTCTTCTTCGGACTTGGTTGATCCAGTTACTGGGGCCCGGACCTGCCAGTCTGTTCAGCTCGTGGTGAATGGCCACCATTGCATTCTTCCTCAAACCTGGGAGGCAAAAAGTACACAGTTACTGCAGTTCTAATTCCATAATTACACTTACAGTACATCAAAAGAAAAAAATGTGCTTTATTCTTTCTTCAGTGATTCATTCAGACATTCTGACCCTGGGCTGCAAGCAGATCTCCACTAAGAAAATGTGAGTTTTTTATGTGAATCAGGGAGAAAACTAGGCCCATGCAAGAGTGCTGAATGTCAATCTAAACAGGATTCTCTCACTCACTTGTCATGTTCCTCATATGCCGGTAGGAGATGCCAGCACACAGTTTGAAGGTTGCAGGTAGCATTTTCTTGCAGCTTTAAGAGAACTAGAAAACTGGAAAAGCAAGTGGATGACAAAGATTAAAAATTTTGCTGAGCTGCAATCGCTCCTGAAAGAAGTGGACGAATGGATGAGAGTGCTGTGGAGAGGATGTGGATTTCTGTCTGCGGACGTTTGAAAGTGCTGTATATATAAGAGCACTGCCCACAAGGTCGCCGTGTTATCACCACATAGATAAACACACACACACACACATCACCTCACTGTTCCAATGGCCATGTCGTCAAGGTTGCGTGGCGGACACGACGAGCAATGTCTCAGACTCTCACAAACACTGTGTCAGATAACGTCCAGTGCCCAGGCCCACTGCATTGCTCACTCACACACATACACACACACACGGGCACACACACACACACACACACACACACACACACAAATTCACAAACATTCTCATACCAGTGGGTGAAACACAAGAGAGCAGCCTCTCTTCAATGATGAGAGTGCACAAAACAGAGGTCAGTAGGGGAGACCCTGAGTGACTCATCCATTCCTTCATGGTCCATTGCAGTCTAATCACTCACTGGAATTTGAGGCCAAAATATTTCAATTCATTTTGGTTTGTTTCTTCCTTGTTATGATTGACAGCTATTAACCCTAATGTTCGGTTTGGAGTCCTGGAGACTCTATATCCTTTTTAACAGCTCAAAACCTAAACGTATCACCTTGAAACTCAATGATTTATCTTAATTATGTGACAGTTACTTAAAATAAATATAATTTTCAAACGATGACATGGTTAAAAAGTCCAAAATCTTAGTGTAAGTACAGTGATTGGTGCTGGCAGTCTATTTGGATTTCTGTTTTTGGAAACTTCAAAAAGGGTCTAACACGGAGTCCACATACTTTACAGTGTCTTCGTCAGTGAACAAAATTATAGCAAACAAAATAAAAATAAACAAAATAAATATATATATGTATATTTGTTTCAAACATGAAATATTTTCATATTTGGTTTATTATTCATGTCATTTCCAGAATGTATCACCTTCAGCAAATGCATGAGTCCAGCTTGTTTCAAAGGGAGGAATAAACAGGTCTTTTAACAGTAATTTTCTTCGTTGTGGGTTTGAAGAACGTCCCAAAAAAAAAAAAATTCCAAAAACTGAATTACAGCAACGAAATGTAACCATGAGGTCACAGCAATTACATGACAGTGTAATTGAAAAGTCCATACTTTGGGCAGTTTATTGTGAAGGAGCAGGTGGTAGTAACATGTTTTGTTCAAGGACATTTTGGCTGGAAAGAAGCCTGTTAATGGACACTATGAAGTCATTTTTTAGGTAAGAATCTACTTAAATCTGGGGTTTAGTCAATTTATTTCAGAAGCATTTTTGTCAGAGTTGTTGAAAAGTCTCTTTACATCCCAGCAGAAATCAATAAATCAAATGCTCTGGCACAAAAATGAAAAAAGCCAGTATCTGTGAATAAGCATGACAAATTATTTCATTCGGTTCGAAATTAATGAAAGCAGCGCCTGTCACTTTCTCCATGGCGTTTATGGACCTTGTGAAACACATCACAGTTCATAACACTGACATCCAAACTGACTCTGCCTCGGGTTCTTCAGTGAGATTGAATCACAAGTTTTCCAACAGGCTTACAAATGGCACGTCATATTCTGTTAATGACACGTTTTATCAGGGTACTCATGACAACCTTGCTTACTCAGTCCATGCAAAATCCAAACTATCTAACAGCAATATTGTCTCACGTCAAACATGCACTCAGAGTCAACAGTCCACATGATGACTAGAGGAATAGAAACCTGTCAAGAGAGAAGCAGGCCATCTGATTGGTGAACAGGGATGTGCACATTGAAAACAGGAACAGTCATTAATCCCAAAGAAAAATCGGAGTCACCTTAACCTGCAACCTTGCGTCCCTCTGGCTGGATGGAGGGAATTATCCATCAGTTCTTCTGGCCTTCTGCAGGGTGACTTCTCTCATTTAATATGGGAACACACAGGCCTAGTACTATCTGACCCATTACTCAGCCACAGTGGACAAACCAGACACCCATGTCTCTTCTGCCGTAAAGCTCTTTTTTCAAAGAGCCAAAGTAGGTCATATGCCTATTTCAAATGGCTCCCTATTTGTCAAGAGCAGTTTCAGGTTTTAATGAGCATTGGCCATGGGGAAAACTGCAATTCTTTTTTCTAGCAAGGGTGTGAGAACCTGAAGGTTAAAGAGTCTCTCCTATAAAAAAACTAAATCTGAAAAGTAAGAATCTTACTGAAAGATTGTGTATTGTAGATGTACGAGCCAAACAGGCATGTTGGGTTTGATGATGACACCAGGACCCAGGAGCTTGTTAAAATGATCTTCTTTTACCTGTAACATACATTACATTAAAGGTGCAATAAAGGTTGATAAAAGCGATTCAGGAAAGGACGTTTGTGTCCAAAGCTCCTTCGTAAATATCACCCTGTCACCTCTGGTTTCAGACCATTTTTTTCAGATTCCTTGAAGCAGGCCCTTTATCCCACAATTCTGCCTGAGTCAAGCACTGATGGCATTCATTTGCAATATGATGGGGCGGCTGTGGCTCAGGAGGTAGAGCAGGTTGGCCGTTAATCGGAAGGTCGGCAGTTCAATCCCTGGCTCCCCCTGGTTGCGTGTCGAAGTGTCCTTGGGCAAGATACTGAACCCCGAATTGCCCCTGGCGGCTATTCCGCCAGTGTACAAGTGAGTGTGAATGTTAGTTTCCGTTTGAGCACTTAGGCTCAGTGTATGAATGTGTGTGACTGGTGAAGGCAGATGTACATGTAAAAGCGCTTTGAGTGGTCAAAAAGACTAGAAAGGCGCTATACAAGTACGGAGCATTTACATGAAGTAATGAAGTAAATATATTTGGGAGACAGTGACTCCCAAAATAGGTGCTCTGAGGGAAAAGTCTATCTTAAAACAAAACATGCCCATTTGAAATGTTCCTCCTGTTCACTAAAAAGAAATAAGAAATTTAAATGTAAATTATGGGGGGAAAACTCCACAGTCCTCACTCTGTGCAACACTGTGAGCTCAGCTGAAACTAATATGATGCTTCAGCAGTCTGAGTTAGTCAAATCAAGTGAGTATGTTCCAGAGTTATAGTGTTATTAGAATTAAATCCCCTCTTTGTTCTTCCGCAGTCAGTTGTGGTGGAAGGAAAAGTAATACAAATTATGAAATTGGTTCTAAAAACAACAAAACTTTGGAATAAATCCTCTTGATTTGTTTAATGCAAACATATCAACTATGGCTGAACTTGGAAATCTATTTTAATATATTTTACAGTGGATTTCCACCAAAATCTCTTTCGATATGTTTCTGGAGAGAAAAATGTGAACCTATCCTTAATAAAACCAGTTATAGATTCAAAGCACACTTTTGATATGCCAGTGAGAGGTTATGTTTACAGTGAAAGTCATCAACATTGCTCTCACTATGGAAGCCGTATTTTGTCTTTAAACTGTTAAAACACATTTACCATTGTGTGCCTATGGCCAAGTCTTTCTCCCTCAGGCATCCCCAGTGGGTACTTGAAATACTGCAAACCTGGTCAAGAACTACAGGAAACATATGATCTCTGTAATTGCAAACAAAGGTTTATGTACCAAATATTAAGTTCTACTTTTCTGATGTATCATATACTTATGTCATGCAATAAAATGCAAATTAATAATTTTCTTTGTTTTAGATTCCGTCTCTCACAGTTGAAGTGTACCTATGATGAATACAGACCTCTACATACTTTGTAAGTAGGAAAACCTGCAAAATCAGCAGTGTATCAAATACTTGTTCTCCCCCCTGTGATGGAGTGATGCCCGATGTCAGCTGGGATTGGCTCCAGCCCCCCACGACCCTGTATGCAGGATAAGTGGTTGACGATGGATGGATCACGGTCACAAGGGCAGAGGAGCCAGAGAAATAAAGAGTAAGGCATACTGTGGAGTACTCAAACTATAGCACAGAGTTTATTGGGACTTGAAGGACACAGTGGGTATGGCTTTCACATGCACTCAGCAACATCACATTAAGGAGAATTCCCTTATTGACTCGCACCTCTCCATCGGTTCCTCCGCCTTCTTCCTTCACTTCCAACAAACACTGTGAGTCTGTGTGTATTTGTGTGTTGACAGGTTCCCCAGCGAAACAAACAGAGCACGACAGTCAGAGAATAAACAAAGTGCTGATGTCTGTGTGGGCATTGTCTGCGAGATCATGCTAACAAGGAGGCACTTCAGTCTGATTCAGATTATTTTTCTCCCTTTTACATCAAGTACGCAGAGAAAAAAAACCCCAAAAAAACAGGCTTGTGTGAGATTGGTATGGTCGATTAATTACTGCATGGACCAGTTTTCATTACCTCAAACAAGGAAAAAACCATATTCTTAAAAACAAGCTGTGCTGCTGCTCGAAGGCCACTTCTTTGTGTGGTGTTTGTGGGATCCTCTGGTGTCTTCCTCACCTCTCCTCATTCATCTCCCGAATGAACGGGACAGCTTAAAATAAAATTCACATAAGATAAACCTTTCACATATACCCTGTGTCTTCGATTATGGTTGGACACAAGAGGAAGACCCTTTAGATTTGTGAGGCATTTTGAAGAGCATGTTAAAAAGTAAGTGAAAAGGGGTAACATATAAAAACCTGTACATCTGACAACAATGCAGCAATATCTTTTAAATGGAAAAGGCATAGGGAGACCAAGAACACTTTAGTCTGTGGTATACAAAACAAGCGGTGTGTGACAATATCAATAAAATAATGTGCCTTAATGATCCGAGGTAAAAACATTGTGATTTTGGTGAAGAAACAGCATGACAGTATTTCAAATTGTGCAACTTGTAAGTCGGGCTGAGTGCATGTGTTCCTCTCCACTCCAGGGGGACTGTGCAGAAAACTGAGCAAAGAACAAAACAAGAGATTTCTCTTTCTGTACAGCATATTAATTTGTTTTTCAAACTCCACATAATGTCAAATATAAAGTGACACTGTTAACCGAGGGCGACGTCTGTGCACGGTATACGATCGTGGAATGAGGTATGCAGAAGCAAAAAGGGATACAGCTGTACATACTTACACTTTTCCATGCAATGAAAACACAACACGATTCTCACAATTCTGTCTATCTGATTTTGTATGTATGTACGTACTGTATGTGTGCTTTGAGCAATATGATATGTCTGCAGGCTCATATTTAGAGAAATGTATAAAAAGGATCACACACTCAGATCCTCCTGTGGTTCTAAATGACGGCTGAAAACCTGCAATAACCAATAAATCAACATGACAAAAGTTTCACAAAACTAAAAGTGTAATCTTTGGCCTGAGTGTACGCAAGGCAATGTACGTTATGTGTTGAGGTTGTTGAGGTGATGTGTTCTGAATGTTGTAGGAGTGAGCTGAGGTATGGGAGGTGGAAACAGAGAGAAAGAATAAGTTAGATTAAGTATAGACGGTGACACTCGGAGGGATGTAGATAGATGGACAGATATTGGTACAAGAAACAGGCCAGAAAAAAAATTAGTGAAAAAGAAATTCCTTTTGTGGAAAAACAAAAAATTCACCAAGACCCCATCTTCTATTCCCTGTGGTGGTCTTTATTATACAGTGGATCCCCTGAATATTAACTTGTTTTCTATCCTTCTCTGTTTTCATCAACATCAGTGGCTCTGTTCGGCAGTCCAACAGTCCTGAGGGTAAGAAAGGTTTGTCTGAATATTTCCAAACGTCTCTGCAACATTGACCAACCCACTACAAATGCCCAGGGTCTCAGGGCTTGGTCACCCCCCCCCCCCCATGGGCTGACCATTTAGGCTTTTACAGGCTTTCTCCGGCTGCTGCTCAGGCCCGGGCTGTGGACCAATCAGCAGCGGGAAAGCCCCTCGCAACTCCTTCCCTTTGAGAGTGTGTGGCTCCCACACTGTCTCTGTGCCACTAGGGGGCAGAGTTGGACATGGAGTCCACAGAGTTTACACTGGAAGACTGCACACGGCTGTGGGAAATAGACACCTCTGGGTGCTGCAGCAGAGAGAGAGAGAGAAATACATTTGTTACCTCGAATGCATTTAACTGTGTGAGTGTGTGAGTGTGTGAGTGAGTGTGTGAGTGTGTGTGTGGGTGGGTGGGGGTGGGGGGGAGTGTGTTTGTGTCCACTTACATGTCTCCTGAAGATCCTGTCCAGCAGGCTCCGTCTGGGTGGCTCTGGTGGCTGATTCCAGTCCAGATCGGGAGGTCTCGTCCCTTGAGGCCCAAACACATTCAAATCTCTGAAACACTCCGTTTCTATCATCTGAATGAGAAGAGAGGAGAGGAAATGAGAGGGGAGGAGAGAGGAAGGAAGGAGAGGAGAGAAGATTTGGTCAGCTTTGGTGAATTCTTTCAGCAGTTATCCAAACTGCACTGAGCATTTTAAAATGTCATATTAAGTGCACACACTTACCTCATTCTGCCATGGGATGGAAACACTGCCTGTAGCAAATTTGGAGTAGAAGTCATTGTCAGTTTGGTCCAAATTTACTCCCTTGACTGTGGAGAATTGCTCAATGTCCAAAACATCCTTACAGTACACTGCCCGAGGCTGGAACAGGGCAAGGACCATGAAAAAGACGAGGTCCAGGGAGGGAAAAAAAACAGTAGAGAGAAAGAAAGAAAGAAACAGCAGTTTATCATAACAGATCATTTATAATACTGAAATTTTGAAATTCTGCTATTCTTAAAGACACATTTGTGGTTTGTGTGAGGATTAAAACAAAAGGTCTTTACTAAGTACAGCAAAAGTATATTTCAGAATATGTTTTGGCAGTGGGAAAGATTTCACCATGCAGTGTGTCCAGTAGTATAAATTACTCACATCAGGCGCAAAAGGAGGCTCCATTATTCCAGCCTCCAGCCTCTTGAAGTTGATGTTTTTGAAGAACGAGTGGGCCTCTACGCCCGCTTCCCCATCCGCCAGGCACCCCAGCCTCTGCTTAGGGTCTTTGGTCAGCAGCTGGGCGAGCAGAGATGAATCATCAAATTATTCATCAATCCATCCATTTCTCCATACAAACATTTCTCCAAATGCTCACCATTCTACAGATAGCCTTGGTGTCCTCTGTAAACTTGTCGTTGTACTCCTCCTCTTCTTCCTGCACCCTCCTCTCCACCTCCTCCCGTTTCACTCGTTCTTTGCGGGCGCGGAAGGGTGATCGCCCGGCCGTCATCTCGTAAATAAGGCAGCCCAGCCCCCACCAATCAGGACTCATTGCGTACTTTTCATTGTTTATTACCTCCGGAGCTAGAGAGAAAGGGAAACAGGATAAAGTTAATAGTTAAAGGTTGGTAATTGCTCAGGGAAATTTACTCCTGGAAATGTTGATAAGCGTGTTTCTTACCCATGTAACCCACAGTCCCCACCCTGCCTCTGATGAGTTCTCCTTCAGGCACTTTGATGGCCAGCCCCAGGTCAGAAATACGGATGTGTCCTGAAGCATAGCAGTGGTGAGCATGATAACATGAGTATGATGCATTTAATTTATTCAAACTTCAGTGGATTATGAAGAGTTATTGTAGTTTGAAATGGTGTCTCAGCAGCAAAACAAAAATGCTGTGCAATGCAATGACCAGAAATCTAAGATGATGAAGTTTAAAAACTCACCATTGTCATCTAATAGGATATTCTCCGGCTTCAAATCCCTACAAATAACACAGCATGTGAGTGATAAAAAAAAAAAAAAAAACATAATTCAACAATGTGTTAAAGGATATGAATGTATGGATTCACAGTGTTACCTGTAGACGATGGATTCCCTGTGCAAATGCTCGAGTCCACAGCAGATTTGAGCAGCGTAGAACTGGACCCTGTCCTTCTCAAAGCCTGGCGTGCCCATGTTGTAGATGTGAAACTTGAGGTCTCCACCGTTCATGATGGTCAGCACCAGACACAGAGCGTCTTTGGTCTCGTATGCATACGCTAAGCTCACCTAGAAGAGGAGATGATGTTAAATGGTGTAAAATGTGCAGACGTGCAGAAGAAACAGACGTGCATGCAAAAGAGACCGCAAGATAACGTCGAGCCCACTGTGCTGCAAATACTCACAACAAATCTACTGTTGACCTTCTCTAAAATCTGCTTCTCGTTTAGAGCCATGGACTCTCCTTTCCTCTTCTTTATCCTCTTCTTTTCCAGCTTCTTGCAGGCGTACATCTTCCCTGTAGCTCTAACCTGGCAGGCACACACCTGAGAAGAAAAGCAAAATGGTACCTCGCATATTACTGTTATTCAAATACATTAAGCATCATCATCACCAGCATTTATCATTATCATCAGAGATTGGATATCTTACCTCTCCGAATCCCCCCTTCCCCAGCACTCGGTACTGCCTGAACGTGTCTTTCGTGATTGGTTGCCTGGCAGAACACAGACACAGCAAAATCCATTAATAAACGCTCATATAGAATTGATCAGGACAGAGATATTATCTGCAGAACTCAATACCATTCTGAGTCTGTTTCCTGTACAGAGGTTGGGGCCTCTTGTATGCAATTTAACTGTCCAGACATGGATACAATCAAGGCTGCTCTGAAAGCCTGCTGTTTACTTCTAACTACCTTAGATATGCATTCTGCATTAAGTATTTTACTGTCTCGAGTCATCATATTCCTCTGAAAAGCCTGAAGTGAAGTGAAATTTTATCCAAGTCCTGGTTTATTCACCTACCAATTGGTTGTTCTTCAAACTGGTGTAATGTATTGCATTTGGGTTTAAATCAGAAGTGCAATGCAACTAAGTACACTTTCTAAAGAATTTTTTTACAAGAGTATTTGCTTTTTATGCTACTTCACCTTATAAGATATGTGTTGTGTTATCTGTGGACTGACTTTGGGTAACTATTTTTTTTTTCCTTATTTGAACTTAAAAAGCCACATCACCAATATAAAAAAATAAATATCAGGAGAACTCCCATAGGCTAAAATTATACTTATTGGTGTTAAAGGCAATGACACTCAGTGGCCACTTTATTAGGTACACCAGTTCAATTTATTGCAATCCAATACAACTATTCTGCTATTAAGTCTATGATCTCTATAATGTTCAGGTTTTGTCCGACAATTAAAAATGTTGTACAGGTAGAATTTATGGCAGAGCTGTTGTACAGAATTGCATTAGATTGTACAGGTGTACTTTATAAAGTGTGTATTATAACCTACTTAATGTGTATTAGACTGTATTTGTATTTTTAAAAGGAGAGGGGATCTAAAATGCTTTATTAGACTGGGACAGATAACATGACTTCAATGGGAAAACCTCTGTAAACTTAATTGACTTGACAGATATGCCTCTCCACTGAAATTAACTTATTTGCGTACCTCTCCAGCACCTTCCACTGCAGGAATCGGTCAAAGTACATGCTGTTCTGGTAGTCCAAGAACGGATCTCCACTCAGATAGTCATGGACGGCCCTGGTCCGACACAACACAGCGAGTGGGCTTGGTCAGCACAGTTACAACTGAGAACATGATGCAAGCTAATATTCAGTTAGCAATATCTATGCTGTTTGTTCCATTATTATCATGAGGTAAACAAGAAAATAGGTGAGAATCCAGCAGACAGGTGAGACGGAATAAAGATGGAGTGGCGACTCACTTGCGGCAGTTGTTGAAGATCTCCTTACATGGACTGAGCTCGAGGTTTTCCCGGCACTGGTCTGCAAAAGCCTCTGCTATGTCTACACGCTGAGGCGACTACATCAACACATATAAAACACACACAGTGACATATACGCACACATACATAAATACATTACTTTTTATTACACACACTGAATCAGACTAAGGAGAAACATACGTAATTTTTTGTAGAGCATGACACTGTATCAGCTCATTGTGTACGTAAATGATATTGTTGTACATCATTGTTTGTACATTTAATGATTACCTTAAATAATTACACCCTTGAAAGAAACGTTGTGAGTGTTAGTGAAGCTTTCATTCAGCTATAACTCAACATTATTGTCTGCTTAGATTTCTTCCCACAGGTTTTAAACATCAATCGCTGTAAAAGGATTTTACAGGTGTAATACAAAAAAGGTTCAGAGGTTGATAAATGTATCAGATAAAGAAACTTACTTCTTTGGAGAGAAATGTCTCAATGATCTGGTCCCCTCTGCTTTTTCTTTTTTCATCAGGTGTCACCTCATAGTCTTCCTAAATAACAAAATAAATCATCAATAACAATATTCTGTGCAGTTTTTTTAATAGAGTGTATAGTATAATAGTTTAACAGATGTATTGAAAGCATGTTCATACAGACCCACATGTATCTTAGAAGTAGAAGTTGATGCTGCTTTCTAATAAGTCACCTTTTACAAAGATTTTATAAGTCACAACATTATTAATGATTTATCCTCCCCTACCATTTCAGGTCTTTAAATCATCAGGAAGAACCTTCAATGGACCATTTGAACTCTGAAAAGAGCTTCAGTGCAACATTTTTAACTGCAGACTTTTTTATTAGAAACTGAGAAACCAGTAAACATATTAATGATAATTTTAAGGTGTACAGTAGGTTACAAATATCAGTTGTACAAATATCAGTTGCCTACTTCTTTGAATCATATAAATACAAGAATCAAGCCCAGATGAACACCACATATATTTTTGCAGTGGTATAACAGCATTTTATTAGGAAAAGAACATTTCTTACTTAAAACCTTTAATAAGAAAGAATTTTGCCTCCTTTCTGTTGTGCAAATGCAGAAAGGCTCCTATCGTGATCAAGTTACATTTTTTTCATTTTCCCCAAAGCACTTTATGATCTGTACAGCATACAACATCCTGTATCCTTAGTCCAAACAAAAACGGAAATAAATCCAAAGACAAATCAAACACAACTCAAGTGTTTTATAAATATCCAAACAGAGGAAGACTTTTGAGATGAATTACTTGTTACCTAAAAGTATCCTCTTACATTATGCTGTTGATTTAGGATCTGGTGTTAGACCAGAGGGAATAAAACCTGATCCTAAATTTTCCCTTCTCTCTCTCTCTCTGCTTGTCTGAGAAAACAACAAAAAAATCCAAACTTCTGTCAAATTCTCTCTCTGCCTTTAATGAGAAAATAATGTTTGATTTGTTGTTTAATTTGTATGATGGAGTAGCTGCTGTTTAGTGGTGACGAGGACACACACCTCTCCCTCTCTGCATCTCTGTGTGTGTCGCTGTCACTCTCACAGGAACATATGCCGCTCTTGGCGGCGTGTTTGAACATACGAAGCCGTTGACACAAACAGGTTTGGCTGTTACACGCTGGACATATTGGACATCTCGCTGAGGCCATGATGGTAAAAGCGTTCTGACGCATTTTCGTAGCCAGCACTTTTAACTTCTCAACGAAGGGGGGAAGCAACATGGCGCCTGTGCTGCACGCTGGCCCTACTCTTTCTATCCGTGGCTTTTTTCCAACATGGTCCTGTGTTGCCTGGCAACCACACAGTAAACACGACGGGATTCCTTGAGGTCCTGGAGTGTCACAGTGTGTCACACCATCGTCACCAGCTTTCCACTACAAAACACACACACACACACACACACGTACGTACGTCTATACAGTACGATCACACAAAAGCCTGGAGCTTAAGGAAAAACTGGCTTTAAAAAGCAGCAGCGTCATGACACTTCAGAACAAAGCCAAAAGAAGTCCAACAATTTATATACATACTGTGTTATATATAAATATATAGGAGCATGACAGATATATAAGAAAGAGCCTCCGGATAAATTACACACGCACGCACAGTAAATCAGCTGTCTGAATCCCACCCTGTTGCCGGTGGGGGGGGGGGGGGGGTCAGCCAAGGGAAAAGAAGAGTCCCCTTTAGCCTTTTGGAAGCAGAGGGGATCCAACACACACACACACACACACACACACACACACAACTGAATTGCACACCTTCTCATGATGTAAGAGGAACCACTGGAACCCCCAACACATTCTTTCCTTTGTTGCACACACAAACACGCACACTCCCTTTTCCTTTAAAATGGACGTGTTAATGTTTTTCCTCATGGTTTCCACACTCCTCTGTGTTTTTACACACAGTCATCTTCCCATCTTACTAACTTCCTTGATTTTATCAACAAACTAAAACTATTTTAAAAAAGAAAGTGAATTTAGTTTCTGGGATTTACTTTTTTGGAAAGTATGGGATCTAGACAACATAGAAAAGCTGTTTCTAATAAAGATAACTGCACAGGACACATGATATTTTATCATTTGAAATACGAGCACCAAGTGGTTGTAACTAATTGCCCTCAGGCCTGGTTTATTGTAAGTAAAGTGGTGAGTACAAATCTCAACACTGAGTGTGGCCTCAGAGTTTGTCACATGGATTGCAGAATTAGCACAAACATGTGTTTGGGATGAGCGTGTGTAAGTGGTTTCCCCCCTGACGGTCATTTTTAGGGCTAGTTGGTTCTGTGGGGGGGGGTGCTGGGATTGTAATGGGTGGTGTGGGAAACAATGCTGTCCTTTCTGTCCTGTCTCACATACCCGCAAAGATATTCTGGGCACAGATAAAGACTTAAATGTGTCATGTGGGAGGTATTCGTCTAGACGCAGAGAGAGAGAGAGATTGGAGAGGGGGACAACAAGCCGAGTAGAGGGGGGATCTGGCTGGTTGAATAATCACTACTCAGTTTAATTGTCTCCCCTGGCTGCATGACCCAGCACTGGCGTACTTTCAGGCCATGCTGTAATAAAAGTGAGTGCACTGAAAAAGTGGATGGGTATGTATTTCCTAGGCCTGTATTAATCCAGGAAAGAGCTACCGCTACTCTTAACATACACAACACCTGGGAATATAGGAATTGACCGTTCGCTAAGCCCCTCACAGCAATTTTTTAAATGGGTCTTCCATTTAACCCAGAAGCAAACAAAAGTTTCTAATTTCTAGCCGATGACATTGGATTTTGTTGGCTGAAATCGGGACAAGCAGATTTTTTCTAAAACTCTTGTATAGTTTGAAAAGGCTATAGTCACACTGATGCTAGGGTTAAATGTCCCAGGCAGAGAGTCAACATCACCAGCTGGTGAGTCATACAGAAGACTGGTGCTTTTAGATTTATGCTTAATTGTTTGTATTTTAACAGTTTTCTTCACTTTTACAAGATAACTGATGAGATTTGGGAACTGTAACACTATCTAATGCAAGTTGTTTCTCTTATTTAAGCCCTGTGAAATCTGAAACATTCCTAGTTACTAGCATTAGTGTATGGTCAATGTCTGTCTGTCTGTATGTGTATACCATTGCGTCCAGAAGCTGGATGCATCGTTGCAATTTAGTTCTGGTCTCACAATAAAGACGGAAGAGAAGCCTTCCGATAGGCTGTTTCTCACAGATGCCAACATAGTCCCTCTCTGCAGAAACAAAAAGCACACACACTTTAAAACACAGCCTTTTGAAACACAAATAGACAAACAGGTGAGCACACAAACACGTACCAATGCTGTTTCCCAGCTCAGTGCACTGGCTTATATGGGGGAAGCGAAGGATCTCCTTCCATTTTTTGCTCCTGCCTTTCCGCTTTCCTCCTCCACCTGTGGCGAGAGAGAAAAACAAGACGTGAAAATGTTACAACGAAAGAACCTCGTAAAGTTGTCAACATTTATTTTCATCAGTGAAAAGCAAATGAACGCCTAATGGCTAAAAGGAGTAGGAGAAAGAGGAGGGTTGTGTGGGCTCTCCCCTGAATGAAATCATGGTCTCAGTGTGTATATATAATTCATAGATTACGTCTCACTTCCTCAGTAAATTTCTCCTCTCTCTACTGACTTTCTTCCTCACTCAGTAGCTTTTCTGAAAGTGGAACTGTGTGCGTTTGTGTCCACACAGACAGAAAGCCTATTCTGACCGCCTCAGTTCCCATCACAACCCGGGACTTTGCCAGACTGGATTCCACCGCTCTGAATAATCATGCATCAGTTTCCTGCAGCAACGTAACACCATCATGAAAAAAAATCACTTACATCCACATCATCTCCTTAGATTGGTAAAAGAAACCAACTGTGAAGTAATTCATTAATCCAGTTTATCTTGCCTTAAACTTTCTATTCACATTTGACCGCCTCCATAATTCCCTCTCTCTGCCTTTTCCTCTCTTATACTGTCCACCGGGTGAGATTAAACACAACTGTGAGGGTTTATTTCACTGTTTTCCATCTAGTCCAGCTTGCTGTGCCTTACGTCATGTTTGTCTCCGTTTTTATTTTTTTCTTAATATGCGAAGACTGCTCTAATGAACTGACAGGGATTTCCTTTAACCACTCTCTGCAGTGGAAATTGGCTGCGAGCGGCTTGCTCGCCGTGAGAGGCAACGTTGAGAGCATGAGAGCAGGAGAAGAAATGACAAGCAGACATCTTTAAGTAATAACCCAGGAATGCAAGAGGCACATGTCATGCTGGAGCCTCTGAGCGAAAGCTTTAGCAGTTTTCCCATCAACCCTCCTGCATTACTCCCTCATCCTTTGCTCCTCTGCTGTCTGAAAAATATCTGTCTATTATCTGTCATTCTCAAATACACTGTGTTGCCTTTGTAATATTATATGAGGAACTCCCTTAAGACTTAAATTCAAAGAAATTTGACTACATTTAACAATGTACAGGTTAAAGAGTCAAACTGGCATGTTTTGATGTGATACCAGACATCACACATGTCATCTTTATTACTCATTATATCATCATCATCTCAAACAGTTACGCTGACACAGCTGCATGACTGTCCCTGCCTTCATGAATGATGAATTTAGGTGCTGTATTTTCATTAAATAAAGAACAATGGTCTGGCCATCAGCCACCAGTTTCTTGTGGCCAACAGGTGGAGGGTAACGATTTCAAACATGGTGCCACAACAGTCTCATGAACCTGAATGTAAGTTTTCCACTTGCCATCTGTGAAATGAAAAAATATTTATTTAACAGATTTTAAGGTGTTGTATTTTTTTCAAATGCACATTATTTTGCAATTATTTCTTAATTTGCATAGATTCATACCATTATACTGAGTTTTCGTTTAATACAAAAGAAAAAAACCCCACAAACTATTAGCACTGATTTCATAATTTTTTAGGACCTTGCAAACACCTGAGACAACTGACCAAAAGCTAATACCACCTCCCCAGTTACTGTTACTACATCCCTAAAGCTTTCTGTACTAGCAGGGCACAGAGGCAGTTTGCAATGATAACACAGAAGGTTTAACTCAAAATTTAATTGTATTTTTTGCATCTTTGATTTCTCACAGAAGTAAAACAAACACTTCTAACGTCGACGTCTAAGGATTTTGCCAGTTAGAAATGGCAACTGTCTTTATCAGCTTGCAAATTCAGGCTGAAAACTCTCTCCATCTGAATTGTTGAAACTTGTTTTAAAACATGTAACAGGGCATTAAATAAGCATGTGCTGGCTACACGCTGCATGGCATCATAGCAAAAAATACTGAGCCTAAAGCTACATGTCTCAGGAAAAAAGTCAGCATCTTCACCAGTGATCGATGTAGAGGACATTTAAATGCTATAAATGTCCTCTACAAAGAGCAGCATTGTTCTGGTATAGGAAAGCTTTATAAATAAAAATGGAATTAAAATGTTATTTACACCCTGTTCGGATGCTAACTATAGAAAACATACTTGGACAAGCAACACAGAGGTTAGTTTCTGCTTTGTTGTTTGTACTTTCAAACATTCACTTTTACAAAAGACAAATTAGTACCAACCAATGAGCTTGGCAACCCTAACATAGTCAGCTAACGAGTTTGGTTGGAGTTGGTGGAGTTAGGTAAAGAAATAAAAGGACATAAAGAAGGAAGAAAAGACAGTAGCTAACACCGATAAATTCTGATGTAGTATCATCCAGCACCTTACATACTCATGTATAACTTATATAATATTATAGTTAAAGGAGCTAATTATGTGCTACTACTGTAGACAGTAAGCTAGTCATTCAGGCATGCGATTTCAGCTTACATTAGAGCAGGCACACTTCCACAAAGAAGGGTTTTTTAAGGCTTGTAGGAACCCTTATTATAAGGTAGTATGTCTTCAGACAAAAGGGATCCTGCGTCACCAGCTGACACACACAAAATGGTAGCCCAAACACCAAGCATGAATGTATTAATAACTCAAGTCAAAATATCCCCTGAGAGAATCATTAACTCCTAGCACCTGCTCCTCATCAACATTACTGTAGTCCAAACAAGCTATAAACAGGCACACTTTCTTATTTAAGCACCAGTTGTTATCTGAAAACAGTTAATATGTAAAGTTAGCCTCCACAACAAAACGTCAGTGTACTCTGCTGTGTGGTCCAATATTTTAATCTCTTAATAAAAACATGAGGTCTGCCAAAAACCACAACAGTACAGTGAGCAGAGAAGGTCATTCCCCACGGGGGCCACCTTGCTAAAAATTAATGCACTGAATGCAACTGTAAGGCATTGGTGGATAAAAGCGTCCACCAAATGGCATAGATTTCCTGTGAAGGTTCAACACCATGTCAAATAATTGTACCAAACACTGGCTCTCCACCCAGGCATTCAACTTTGACACAATGCTGAGACAACCGCAAATAATGTAGTTTCTCCTTTTTCATTCGGTGTGCTGTTTTCTTTCCTTCTCACTGCTCTCCAAACCTATTTATTTTTCATTTTCTCCCACTCTTCATCTACCCCTTCCTGATTTTTGTAACTCATCTCTCCTGCCATCACCTTCTGCTCTTTCTCGGATTCCTGTAATCCAGCGTCTTCTTTTCTTTTAAGTTGCTGCCAGCCAACGACTGGCCTCATTTTCTGCTTCAGGCCTGCACAACCCCCTTTGTTTCAGAGTTGAATAAGTTTGCAGGTTTACAGCTTTATGGGCATATAAATAGAATGTTTCTATAGATCAGTGGTTTCCCTCTGTTTTAGCTTTATGACCACCAAAACCAAGTGACATTTATGGCCTGTTGTCACAGGTTGCATATGTAGGGGTGATGAAATGATGCAGAAAAATTCATAGAAAAAAAGCAAAGAAAAAACTTCAGAATGAAAAAAACAAACAAAAGGTTTGTTTTGCAGAAACATGTTTTTTCTGCTTTCTTATCCTGTCCCAATTTCTCTTGCAACCAATCAGAGAAGATGATGTTCAATTAAGGGCTAATCCCCTTTGAGCATATTTATCATGGTGAATAAAACTTTATATGTGAAACGTGACACATGAAAAAAAGAGGGTTAGAGTATGGGAAGGTTAGTGGAGATCAAAACATCCAGACAGCTTGGCAATCTCCTACTAGTACCTCTATCAACTTTGTTAATTTATTCAGCTGTAAGAAACTACCTTAGTACTTACACTGAGTTGCAGTGGCCCATTTGATAGCAAAGACCTGATCGACCATACAAGAATACACCCAACAGCTCCCGTATACATGCAAATATTATGAATGAATTATTCACTCCCATACAAATGACTCATCCATCTGGATTTAACAAGTAATTTCCTGTCTGGCGTCAGTGTCTTTTGACATCTCTGATGGCTGTGGTCTTAAACAAACACAACCCTCAATCAGTTCAAATGAGTTAAAATGCTGTGCTTTATTGCCGGTGGCCGTCAGCTGCTGTGTATCTGTTCTCAGAAGGCGAAATATGCTGCCGGATGGAACAAATTAGGTCTGGGGGAAAGTTTACAAAAGGATTGTAAATATCAACATCATAGGAAGCGCTGATTTTAAAATCATGGCATAAAGCTGCGGGAGGGGGGACTCCACTTACACTTGTTTTGTTTTATGTCTAGATCAGTAATTCTGGGTTCTTGTTTAACTAAACTAGGCTATTAAAAGTATGACTATGCTCATAAATGTCGTCCATAAACCCTCTTGTCTTCGCTCCCCCATTATTTCTTTCTCCATTAAACAGTTCTCATTCTCTCATGTTCTGTCACACACACGAGTAGAAATACGCACTGCGCCGTGGGTACGCTCCACACAGGAACTTGTCGGTATAATTTGTTCCATGAGGGCAGTGTGGTTGCCGCCCTTTATTCATGTTTCTGCTTAGCAGTTCTGACATCATAAAGGCATGTCAAATGAAGCAAAAATAAGGTCAGAGAGGGAACGACATCCGTCTGGGGGGGTTACCAGCATCCTAAAGATCTCTGTTTGTGTGCACACACACACTGTTTCTACTGTGACCTCTCTATAGTAATGTCCTCATGCTCAATTTAACCCACATAGGGGCAATTCTGCAGGCCTCATCCATCCACACATTTAACAACATCCCTGCTTAGCTGTGAGGTTATATTCAAAAAGTGTTGACACACAAAAGAATCCAAGCCATTAACCAGTTTGTAGCACACATACACACGGTCTCTGAGGTTTTAAACACCTCAACTTACACTGTCACTCCAGACGTGCAGTTAGATCTGCTGTGGACAACCAGCTAAAACCACATCCTGAAACTCGCGCTGTGCATCTGGCATATATGTAACAACAACATCTGCAGCCAAATGTAATGCGCGAGAGAGCTGGCAGAGGAGAGCTATGAATGTGCTATTGTTTTCACTTACACTTTG